ACATACAAGAAATGGTAATAGCTGACACAAGTAAACAGGCCATACTGCATGTGCAACATGAACTTTTAACTTCAAATCACAACTAGGACTGCATAACACTATCAACATATACATCAGGTACTGAATTTTTTGGGTTCCATGCTTATTGGTCATCATAAAAAATAGAAACAAGTGTTAACTTGTTGCCATAAATGTATATATGTATATATTTTATAGCGTACTCCTAACTTTGCTTACTGTTCAGTGTGAGGCAAGAATTAAACCTAAGGGTCCTAAAGGGAAACAAAAACAAATATGTGGCTGACTAGAGTCCCTTTGAAATCCTTTTTTACTAACATTTGTCCTCTTCCTGTTTTCTTTTTGCAGTTCTCCTGTCCTTCTTTTTCCTTTTCCTTTCAAGTTTACTTTGTTCCTTCTTCTCTTTGTTGCCTCTTTCTCTCTTTTTCTTCGTTGTTGTTGTCATCGTCGTCGTCGTCTTCTTTTTCTTCATCTTCTTCCTTCTCCTCCTCATCAATGTCAATTTGTCTTTTTTCTACTTCCTGTCCTTCCTCCAGAATAAAGGAGCCTGTAGGTTGACCAATAATTGTCTTTTTCTTGCTGTTGATTTAAATTATATATTACCCTATTTATAGTGTTCCTAGTCAGGACAGAAGGGCTCTATACATTGCCAGTTTAAGTAGGGGCCTAAGCATAAAGAACCTGTAGGAAATGCCCATAATCCATGTCTCTGGGGCAATAACATTCTGTAACACGTTTTCTAGTAGAGTGCGAATATTGTGTAAACTTCTGATTAATTTCTTTCGGCATAATGAACTTTGTGATGAAAGACTGCCATTGCCTTATAACAGAAGGAGCTGTAATTATATATTATAAAAGCATAATCCTATAAAATGCAGTAGCAAACCACTGGATCAACTATTGTTAGGGCTGGTCATTTTTACCAACATCACAATCAAGATTGTTATTGGTAGGTTAAATAATGAGTATTATACTCTTAGCTATGTGATTCCAGATGTACCCAGAGTGATTCCTGAAATGAGATTTGAACTGGGGGATCAATAAGAGCTTTTTTAAAATATATTTGGCTGAGCAAGCCTGAGTCACACATTTCAAACTAGAATGCTGCGTTTGGTAAGATGTTATTTCGTATCTGGTGGAAATTTATCTATTGTCGTCATGGAGCCCTGCTTCAAAGTGCATTAAATTATTGACAATATTTCCAACATGCCTTGAGCATTGGGATTGAGAATTCCCAGAGAACTCATATCTTCTTCTACAATCCCAGAGTAACTGAAGTTGCAAAAAATTGAATGAATGTCAAGACCATATAGTTATTGTGCATTTCTTTATGCCATGAAACTGAGTGAGTGAGTCAATCTGTTAGTCTATATCACACCATACTGAACCATAGTACATTGTCCCAGTCTCCATTTACATGAGATCCAGTTGTTCATCTCTCTATTTTAACTAACGTATTAAGTAATTAAAATTATGTTCAAGTTGATCCAACTTTTGTTTTCTAAGTGTATGTGTTTTTAATCCATTTTGTAGAAACATACCTTTTTGCCACTGTTCTGTGCCAGTTAAATGACATGCTATGAAAATTTTGAAAGGTAAAGAACCTTCTTAAACTTGTAGCACAATCCATGGTAATAAAAATAGCAACGAACAAATATTGAAAATCCATAATTTAAATATCAAAATTTTAATTTCTTAGCAGATTAATTGGGTTATGTTTTTGCATATGTCTTCCAAATACTATTTTCTCTTTAAGTGTGGTGAGAATGTATTCCCACTTTCAGGAGGCTATTACTTCCAGAATGTACATGTGTAACTTTTTTGTGTAAGTGTTTCATTGAAATTCTAACAGATATTTGTTGCTGCTGTGGCCATATATTTTACTCCACTGCACTTATATCTGTCAACATGCAAATTTGCCTTAAAACAGCCTTTGCAGCACAGTTATCCAGAAGCTTTGGCAAAGATGGCCTTCACTATCTTTCCCCATGAGTTATGCTTCATAAATGTATATATACTCAATACGATCTTTTAGTGCTGAGTTAAGTCACAATGTCAACAATTCCTTTTGCTTGTGGCCAAGGATATTTATGAGCTGACTCTAACAACACAAACCCCTAATTGCTTATGAAAGAATACACACACCTCTATTTCTTGGGTGATGCAAAACCATGTACAGTCGAACCTTGATTATCCAGACTCATCGGGACCTCGGTAAATAGTCCGGATAAATCGAGAGTCCGGATAATCGAAAATATGAATATTAATGAGATAGAAATGTGAAATAATTATCTGCTAATCTTTAATCAATAGAACGGCTAGCTTTCGCTTCATAGGCATGTTTTTTTTATTTGAGTTTACGATCGATCGCTCGTGTGTTTACATAGCCCACGCGGAAGGAACTAATCAAACATGAAATTCCCTTGGCAACAAAACAATTGAGCCAACCATATATCAGCTGAACGCATCAGAATATTTCTTTGTCTCGTCCCACTTTCGAATTTTGAAAAGCGCACAGGATAATACGCTGTTTGAACAGTCTTTTGAAAGGATTATTGGGCTTTTTGCGACTTTGAGTTTTCAAGATCACAACTAATTAATATTCATAGAAAAATTGGGACCAGAGAAGAAAGTCCGGATAATCGAATAGTCCAGATAATCGGGGTCCGGATAATCGAGGTTGGACTGTATATACGCCTGGAATTTGCACTCCCCCTGCCATAAATAGTAAAAAGAGCCTTGGCATCTGGTATGCCTCTGTTTTCTTTGTCCATTCTGCTCCCACGGTTTGAGGACTTGTATAGACGAATTATATGAAAAGAAAGGGCCAACACTGACACCACGTACAGTTTACAGTTGCTACATATGAATTGTAAATATTACCAATTGCCAGTTTTCACTGTCAAACTATTATCAAAACCGTTAAGCAGATAAAGTCAAGCATCAAATAGATTAAGTAAGATGCATATTCAGTCTCGCAAAGAGTTGGGTCTGTGCAATGTTTTGTGCAAGAGATTTTCAAAGAAGTGTTTTACTCAAATTTATATGGTTTTGAATGAAGATGCCATGTTGGTGTCCCTCTGAGGGTCACAAATATGACAGTTGGAAGCTACCACTTCTCCTACAAGAACCGTTCAGACTGCACAATCCCAACAGTTAAGTCATCTTTTAACCTACGTGACAG